TGTGTCATTACTACATTTGTCAGCTTGAGGTAATTGTTCTACTATTGCACAGCAGATAGTTTGTTTTGAATTTCGCGAAAAGCTACACGAGGGCTATCTGCGCTAGCTTTCCTTAATTTAGCAGTGTAAGACTAGAGGGAAGGCAGCTAGTCATCACCACCCGCCGCCAACTCTTGGGCTACTCTTTTACCAACGAGCAGTGGGATTGACTGCACATTATAACGCCCTCACGGCTGAAAGGGCGAGCATGTTTGGTGTGACGGGGATTCGAGTCCGTGACCCTCAGATTGCGAGTCGAGCGCCTTAACCACCTGGCCATGCTGGGCCCAGCAGATAGTGTTCTAGCTATGTGTAAGCATTTCAGTTGCTCCTCCCAAAGATTCTGATCGGTCACTTTTGTGATGTACATCCATAAGCAGAATCGTTAATGCTGCTTTTGCATCGGATTTGATCACTATACCATATCCATGATCTGGACATCTGATGACATTTTCATGCTGTTAACGTAAACAATGTTTTACATTAGGCTGTACTCTTACAGCACTGTTATCCAATATACAATAATATATTCTGGATTTTTTAAGCTCATCAACCATTTCAGTGACGATGGTCCACTTGAATGGTACTCACCTTACCATACAATTGGTGATAATAATGTTTCACAAGTACTATAATTCCAAGCAGCCGCATATTTTTCATCTTTGTTATGCAGTATCAGCATTCAGGAGCTACTGGCATATGGCTCGCATATGCAACTACATGTTCCGTTTTGTATCTGTAAAAGAATTGTTCCTATTATACTATTGCTGGCACTTGTACCCAAGATGAATGGATATTCTTGATGAGAATAAAACAGCACCAGTTCCTAAGAAAATTATACTTAAGGGCTGGTATGCATATTCACACTTTGGATCTATACAACAAACACATTAGCCTTAAACACTTCAGACAGTAATGTGGCTTTCTAAAAGAAATTACCTAAAGAAATAGGATAGTCTGACACAAAGCCTAGAGAGCTGTAGATTTCTTGTTTGATCTTAAGCTGAGACCCATGCATGATCAGTGGACACCTAACTCTTACCTACTATTATGTCATCCACATACATGAGGCAGATCTCTCATTGCAGTAATCAAATTGCAAGCTTCATTATCCTACTAAAATAGACAGGTGCATTAAACTGACTGAATAGCATAATGCTGAATTCATACAGTCCTTTCTAACTGCTGAAAGCAGCCTTAGATCTATTTGCATTGTCTAATTTATATTGCCAGTAGTCATAAGCCAGTTCTAGCTTATTAAACAAATGGGCGCACTGAGTGGATTCAGACATTTATCTGTATCTGTTTGTGGCAAAGTAAAGCATTTTTGTATATTATCATGTTCATGTGCTTAAATTCCATCTAGAACCTAGAAGTTTCTTCCTTCTTCCTCCCAATGACTACTGAAGATGACCAAATACTCACTGGGGGTTGTATTATCCCATCCTTCAATATGCACACAATTTCATTACCTGCAATATTTCTAGTGTTCCAATGAAGTCTGTAGTAGAGTTGGTTTATCTTTAATACCAGATATGCATCAACCGCATTATAAGCAAACTGATCAGTTATGCAGTCGTTGTTTCGGAAATGAGACGTCACGTGTTTCTAAGAATATGACTTCAATTTTGAAATAACTTTTCGTGTATGTGTGTGAGGTGTGATTTCTGAAATAGGAACCGCTTGCAGGTATATCTGTAAGTGTGCAAGACCTGTTATTTTATTTTTTCTGTAGTTTTATTTTAGGATAGTAGACGCTTATTCTGCGTAAATAATTCCATAAACTCGATCTTAAATAATGTAGTCTTATCTGCTACAGAAGTTCAGTTGTTCTCTTGAGAGAAATATAATAATTGCAGTAAGATCTTCATGCAAATAATGTATAAGGAACATTTTAAATTTAAGAACTCATCGGTGGGGAATCGAATTTTCAAAGAAACTGAATTAATCAAGTTCTCAAGTGAAGTTTAAACATTGCCACTGTCAAAAAAAAGTAAATGCACGATATAATTAAAACAAAAATGTTAAGTTCCCGAAGTTACTTTAGAAGTTAATAATTTAACATTTGCATCATTGAGACGTACATACTATAAAGTCGAATACAGCTCTATGTATGCTAACGTTATCTGTCTTTACTTACAACAGAAATGGAAAAACCAACCAGTCAGACAGACAGATTTCTTCACAGATCCAGTAAATGAACCAATCATGCAGATTTCCTCATAGATTCAGTACATGAATAATCATGCAGATATTTTTACAGATCCAGTACATGAAACAATCATAGTACACAGAAGGCCGGAAAATCTATCGAGAGCCTGAAGTTATTAACAACTAGCCAAAAATAACGATTCTTTTTTTTTTACAGAATTTCAAATTCTAAAACGAAGATAAAAATCGTGTAACGTGTAAATGTTTGATATGCTTTGAAAAGTGCCATTAAAATGTACTGATGATATATAATAGTGAATACATTATAATGTTCATTCCTTTGTGTAGGAAATAAAATGTTAACGAGTTAGTATATTTTTTATTTGTTTTCAGGTTTCTGTATTGACTAGTTTCATCACCTTGACACACTCGGAAAACATCTTGCAAAGCTAAGCAGTCAGACTTGTCTACATGTGTCTGTGATATTAGAATCCGGTATTTTCAACCTAAACGGCAATTTACGTGACACAAGGATTAAACAACCAGGTTAAAGATGTCATGTCTCAAACATAACCATCCTAAATTTAAAAATGCAGATTAGAAGGATTGTTTGTTTATTTGTTTGTTTTGGAATTTCGCGCAAAGCTACACGAGGGCTATCTGCGCTAGCCGTCCC